TCTTAATTGAATCGAAAGATGCTTTTATCGCAAAGTGAAAATTCGTTAAATATTAATTGTGACGCACACAGGAGTGAGTCTAATATTAAATTATGCAAAGTTTTACTGATTGATCGTTGATGACATTCACCAGCGAAAAGTATTTGCCTCAAACAAATTTCCTGATTCAAAACCATTTGAATGAACCAAAATTACTTTTCCTCATACTGCCCGATTTTAGTTAAAACATTTTAGTTTGTTAATATATGAATTAGAGTTTTCAAACTAAAAACGAAAATCCCCGACGGATATTTTGAAATTCATTAGAATTAGAAAATTTAAGAAGCTCTATTTAATTTTATTTTCACTTATGAGTATATTAGTAACGTTTAAATTTTTCAAGAATTTTTATATATTTATGGTATCTAAAATTTTAAAATTTTTAATCATTTATTTAATGTGGATTTCCACAAAAATTTTGAATTGTGGCTTATAATTTCATGATTCATAATCATTTGATAATTTTCAACATTTTATCAGTGGCTGAAAAGAAATGAAACAAGTAGAATTTAGTCCAATGTTGTGTTTGGGTAAATATTCCTGGAATGAAAATAAGGAAGAAGGAGGAAATGATAAACGCCATTAACAAAATGAAAGAATATTCCTGCAGCTAAACGAAGACGTCGCTTCTAATTGCTTTTAATTGGGTGACAGGAGAGCAAATTTAAACATTGCCATCAGCAAACAACGTTCCTCGCTTTTATCTTGAAAAACAATTTCGCAATATTCGTGGCGGAACTCGCTTTCCCGCTTCATTTGGAGCAATTTCCGCCCATCTTTTTGCCTTCGAAATTATTTATACAGAATATTTCTCCAATCGTATGTGAAAATAGGTTTCTAAATAGCGTGCGTTTAATTAATTCTTGTACGTCGTTAGCAGGAGGGTGTCTTTTACGCCACCAAATATGACGTTTGCAGAGGAGAGCGCGGAAAAATAATTTTGCGTGAGTGGCGCGTGGAAATTTCGATTTTCAACTTTTAAAAGTGAACGTGTTGGCGAGCTGTTTGATATTACGGGAAGGAAGGGTGAAATGGTGTGTGTGCCAGAAAAGCGATGAGGGGGCCACGAACGTCAGAGTTTTGAACAAGTTTATTACACTGCAATTATTAACATGTTTAAGAAAACTTAAGGTTTCTGGTTCAAAAGTAAAACATGATCAGATAAAATAAAATTAATAGTCATATGTAATACGTTCAAAGCTGAAAAGAGCGTTGTGAAAATTGATTATGGCGTGTGCAACGATTAGTGATTAAATATTTATCATTTTTGCTATTTAAAGTTCGGAATTAACAATGTGTGTTTAAATTTTCAATTGTAACCATATTCGCCTATTTTATAAATAAAATAACATCCTAAAACTCTTGTTTGGAGTAGCAAAATGTGATCAAAGTTTGTAGTTTAAAATGAATATTATTTGATATAAAATCTGAAGATAAAATAGATTTTTTAATTCAAAACTTGCAGGAAAATTTTAATGCACCAATTAAATTAATTTTTTTTCGCTCTCGTTTGTTTTTAATTTATGAATGGTTTCTTTGGGATGAAATTACGCGGTGATATTATCAACAAACATTAATGAATAAACTGAATTCAATTACGAAACATTAAATTTGGAATAAAGTATGCTTAGTTTATTTTCAAAGCCTCACGTATAAAAATTTACAAAATAAATTTATAATTGTTTTCATTCATTAAATGGAAACGAGACAGAACAAATATCCTTGCGGCTGTGTTTACAAATTGATACAAACAGACTTTCACCATCGGAGTATAGAGATGGATACAAACGTGATATGTGTGTATTTATTCGCACACATGTACATTTGCAATCACCGAGTGAAAGGGCCCCGCTCACATGAATGGCGCTTCTCCTTCTCTCGCATCACACGTTTGAGTGGTGCCGAATAACCTAGGCCGGGTTATTATTTTATTAGCGCGAGACGAGCGGCGGCTCATTTGACGAGGCGAGAGATCTACGTGGTGTGTGTGTGTCGTCGCCGAATAGCGTTTTAATTATTAACGTGGCGTGTAACACGATTACTTTTAACAGTACATGCAGCATAGCGAGAGGACGCGGCGCGGCTTCATTTTCTTTGCGAGAGTATAAATGCGCGGTTCGAGACGACGACGAGAGTTCGAGGCACGCCCGCAATTATACGTACGGTGTGCGTGCCTCAGTGCTGATCGCGATATGCACTCGGGGCGTTAATTATGTACATTAATTAAGGCGGTGCAACTGGACGGATGAATTGCGTATTTGACATTCAGACTGCCAGTGATGACAGGCTGCTGAATCATTGTGACTGCAAATTAAATTAATCAGCAAGAATAATAAAAAAAATAAAAATTGCCGAGGAAAAATTTACAAATAAATAAAATAATAATTGTTCTTAATGGAAAAAATATTTATAAATTTTGATGGGGCAGTTTTTTTATTGATTTCTTTGCAAGGAACATCAACAACTCTTTGGAGGAAATGTATCTTATAATTCTATTTTCGTCTAATTTTAAGAAAAATTTTATTGCGAATAACTTCAAATTATTAAATTCAAAATTACAGGGATATATTAACTCTGGTTTTTGGTCCAGGCAGAAATTGAAATCACATTCAGTTTTGTAGGAAAAATAAGAGAATTTTTTTTTTCGTCTTCTTTCGTTTATTTTGTCATTTTTAGGCCTTTATTTGGCTACAGAATTAAAGTAGCTAATAAAAGAGGAAACCCCGAATTTCATTAATGTGAATTTCTGCAAAGAGTGTTTTTTTTTTGGCAAGATTAGCGCCTGCTTGAATTTGAACACTTACAATTAGATTGTTCTGCATCTCGTACAAATAAACCTGGATATGTTTAAATTAATCTAAACGTATCTTTGAGATTATTGGTGTGCTTTTGTGAGGCAAAAAATAGAAAATTGTTACATTACATGATAACATTAAAAGTTAAAAATTGTGAAAATTCAGTCAGAACTGTGGAAAAATTTAATTCCAAAAGCCATAAATAATTTGAATAATTAAGTCTGTTTTAGTGATTTTTCAGCTTCAAAATGCTTGATTAGTGCTTTTTCATTTGGTGATTTTGGTCGTTTAACATTAACATTAAATCTATTTTTTATTACTTAAATTAATAAAATTGTACGTCATTTGAGCAGAATTTTTAAACTAAAGAAAAGATTCCATCACAAGCGATGCTACAAATTAGATTTTTTTTAGTGTCGTACAGGAGGAGGAAATAAATTCAGCGCAAGAAAAACACGGAGGCTAAATCAAGCGCACGTTCTTAAGGGATTTCGGTGCGGAACAAGGCAGCCGGGTCAATTACGGCAGCGATAATTGTCTGCAGAGACAAAGTGCACATTGTGTACGTGGAGGCGCGCGGCAGTGAGGGCAAATTAAAGGCGACTCGGGGCGGAAGGCGCCGCGCAGTTTAGCCCAAAACAGATGGAATTAAGCAGCGCAGGCCGAGCTGCAAATAATAACGAGACGCGCCAGGTAAAAAGGGAAAGAAAGGGCCGCTCGTAAATAAAGGCCGCGTGTGTATGTGTGTGTCGCGTCCATTAGCATTTTTATTTGAAAGCGCTGCCTCCAGAATAAATCAACCGGGACACCTTTTTGCTTTTTTCTACGAGTGTCTTTTTATCTGGCAAAATAGCTGAGCACGATATAATATTTCTCATTCTTAGTGTCGCAAAAGTGCTCAGAGGATTTGTCACTCATTTTTGAACACGGTCAAAATGAGCATCGTTGAACCAAACCAACATTTTCTGCTAACATAGGCTATTGAGCAATTTACACAATTCTGAAGCTAGGTGAGGTGAGGGAAAATTGGTAATCAGCGAAGTAATCTATTTGCACTCATAAGTGAAAATAAACAATATATGCTGAAACTTGTACCATTGAAATTATAATTGAAACTTTCGAGCTTGTGTACTCTTTTGGCTAAAAGCCACCTATTTACCTTTTTTTTTTAACTCTGTTAGAATTTGGTTTGCCTTTTGGTTGCAAATAATTTTATTTACCAAAACCCAACAAATTTCTATTTCAAAACTGTGCTGAAATCATTTTAAGAAACAAAATGATCCACTTAGTCTGAGTAAATTAAAATAACACTTTTGTTTTATCTTAATATATTATAATGTAAAATATGTTCATTTCAAAATCTAGAATTTGCTGATGAATTTTTAAAATCAATTGGCCAGTTTTCCAGCTATAATTGCAGAAAACTAAAGCCTTTTTTCCTTACAATAGCATACAAAACCACCTTTTCAATTATTTCGATATTTTCGATGACATTACACATTAAGAAACTAATTAAAAGTTTTTTAGTTTTAGCACGCAATTTGTATAATATGTATATTAAAAACAGCTTAAATAATTATTTTATTTTAATAATTTGTTACTTTAAAAATTAATTTTAGAGTTAATGCATTTAATGCTATATATTAATTTAACATTAAATTTTATTCAAATTTTATGCTTCATTTTTGTGTATTTTGGCAATTTAAAAGAAAAAAAGTATTTATTAAAAATGCCAATTCTCTGCTAGATAATTAAGACCAGCATTTCAACTACATAATATTTTTACGATGATAAGCATGTTATACATTGATAATGATATTTGAAGAAGAAATCAACACAATGACTAATGAGAGATAATATGAATTGAAAAATTCACAATTATGTTTACTAATATACAAAGGAATATCCTATAAAAATTGCTATAAATTTACATTTATAAAATATGATAGATCCCGAAACCTTTTTCAGTTTTTTTTTTCAAGCCACCACAAAACTAGAAATAATGTGATATGTTAATTTTTGATTGAGCTGGATTGAACTTAAAAAATGTATTTATAAACAATTTAGAATAAAAATATTGACTAATCCGATGCATCGTATATTGATCAGAATATGAAAACGTCCACAAATTTGAGGTGTTATGTGAGGCGTGATGTGTTGTCTCACCTGTGTTGCGAGTCCATGCGGGCTGCTGGAGTGTGGCGCCGCACGCAGTGTGCGCTCTGTGCGGCGCCGCGGCTGCCACTGACGCTTCACGAGACATCAAAGAGTTGCCGCTCCACCCTCGGCGGCACCCTGAGAGCCACGCGGGCGCGACCAGGGCCAATCGGACCACCGTCCCGCCCCGCTCACGTGGACACGCCGGAAATGAGGCTCACTTTACTTTCGGCACGCGCCACGAATCGCAAATTTTGGCACTGACAAAAGTGCGAGTAATTTATCTACTCGGACACGCACCTCATTTCATTATGCACTTCAAAGTTAAATTTTTGTATCTTTTATAATTGAAATCAAATTTTTCAGGTGTAATCACGTAAAAAGTGGGTAAACACAAAATTTTAACTTATTGAATTTTTTGGATTATTTATGATGTAGACTCTTTGAATATATTTTGTTTATGCGGCGAATATCACATTGTTTTTATCTTTAAATTTTTACTGAAACAAGCAAACCATTATGAAAGAGCATTGCCGAGCGAGATTGAGAGTTTTTTTGGAGAAAACATTTGGAGCAAATTTTGCATTTGATTTTTTTAAATTGTTTTCAGCGAGTCAGAAATTATTGATACATATGACTAATTAGAAGTTGCAAAAATTCTAAACTTTATATTTTATTTATAGATAACAAGTAGTTAAAAAAATGAAGTGCTCTACATCAACTCTTGATGTGCCATCAAACGATGGTTGTTACACCTCGACCAACAAAACCTCACTGGCTTCTCGGGGGTGATTTATCTACAGGCGCTGAGTAGGCAACCGGTTGTACTCGGCGGTCGAGCATGCTGCATAACGGCGCCTACTTAGCTCGCTCTCGTGTTGTGTAGTGCGCCTCTTGTGGCTAATTTATGGTCGGCTGCTGAATTATGTATTTATTATCGTGTCTCGGCGCGCGGAGAGCGAGCAGGCCGGCGGAAATTTGCAAAGTTACCATGTTTAGCCTGCAATTGGCATACCTTGCGTTGTTATATTAATGGTTAAGGCGCAGATCAAACTTATGGTCCTGAGGGTAATTTTATTTTATGGCCCTGTGCTTCGTTTAAAATTAGAAAATTACCAGGAATTTGAATCTAATTCAGTTTCAAAGTGTCTTTGTTAGTTTAATTTATTAGATTATGAATAAGACGGTGGTCTGGTAAATTTGGAATAAATAATCATAAAAATAATGGCGAAATAATTTACAAATGAATTTCTCTTGCTTAATGCGCGTAAAATTTTGCAATGTAGCTTCTAAATTGATTGAAAATTATCTTGATTGAAATAATTTCAATGTAATGAATTAATTTATTCACATTTTTAAATTAATAATATTTATTACTGAACCTTATATCATCTTTTATTGATGGTAGTGAGACCAGTGAGACAATTGTATTTAAGAGAAAAAATATTGAAAAAAAAAATAGTCCAATCAAGTGGGAGAGGCAATTTTTAATACCTAAAATTCAAGCGACAAAATATCAGATAGGTTCAAAGCAGTACGGTGGCACCTGGCAAATGACGCCTTTCCGATCCATACAGTCGAAAGGACGCAAGTCGTTTGGTGCACAAATTTTGTAATTTTTTCCCATTTGACTTGATTTGTGAAGAATAAACAACAACAATAATCAATTTTGGAAATTTTATATTATTATATTTTTGAGTAGGATTGCCAATAATTTTTAAGAAGTAAAAAGTTAGCTGCCAAGAAAATGAATACAGTACTCGCAAGTTCACTTCAAACTTAAAACAAGCAGAAGTAATACCGAAAATTCTTTAAATTCTACCCCGTTTTGTCGTTCGACTTAAAACGTCGCAGGTGCCAAAATCGAATGACACCGCGAGAGTAGTCACTTTGATCAAAACAAAGTTCCGCTCGCATCAAGTCTGAGTGGGTCAAATGCGATTTCTCGAGACTTCACCTGCGGCCGTACGACTACAGTCGAAAATCGAGCGTCGATCGATATCGGGCCGGGAGGCAGTTAACCTTTTTAAGTGCCATTTCTGGGTGCATCTCGGCGAGACAGAAAGACAAGCAACGAGCCGCCCCCGGGGAGCAATTGGCTTGCAAATGTCGACGGAGAAGATCCTCCGAGCGGGAATTTATTGTGCGCGGCAGGAAGCAATTAAAAAGACAGCCGCGATAATGTTTCAATAGCGCCATAATTCAATCCGCTAGACTTTCAGCTTAATTAAAAATCGGTGCTGGTGAAATTTATTAAAGTTGTCAGGTGGAGCGTGAACGCGCGCGCCCTTTGATGTTGCCTATTGATTGGCCCGATGGCTCATTCATTCGCCTCATTCATCGCCCACCGATTATGCACGTATACCTGCCTTGTGCAAATTCCGCGCTTGTTTGTGCCTCGTGTACATTGTTATTGCTCGCCCCGTTATTGTATTCCGTCTTGTTGTAATTAGCATTTTCGCACATGTATTATGCAATGCACGAGTGTGTGTGCTTTTCTTCCCCGTAATTTAATTAATTTTCACCCGTAGTAATTGTGAATTTGATTAGTGATTTCACTGCACTTGCTCATCATAGTTGAGATCTAATCAAAAGTCCTTTCGCTCTGTTGAACTTTGGCATGTTGAAATATTTAATAGATTATTCCATCATACCAACCAAAGAAAAATGCACGACCCAATTAATCAGTTATTGATTTTTTTTTTTTAATTCAAAAATTGTCGCAGGTCGCTTTTTGTTTGTATCGTTTTTCTTATTTTCAACAAATGTCTTTTTGCTTGGCAATTCGGCTAATTTAGGGTGCGAAAAAATTTGTGATTTATCGCTTTTTCAAAATTGGTCGTCTACAGATCAATAAAATCTGCTCCAATAAACCTTTCAGTTTTTTTTAATCCTTTGATTTGAAATATATGGCAAGTTTTAAACTTGAGTGAGTAAAAGACGCTGCTCAAATTCTGAAAACGAACAACTCTTGACCACAATTAATAATTAGTTCAATCAAATGTATCTCCCTCTTTTTTTAATTTTTACTATTTTACATTTTAATTAATATTATACTATAAAGATTTCAATTATAGATCGATTAAATCCTTTCTATTTTGTATACGTTCCTTGAAGTAAGGTTCCGTTTGAATAGAGTTAATAATTAATTCATATTTCACACAACTCTTCATCTTTGATAAACTATGCTGGTGCCGAGTGGAATGAAGCAAAGCACGCGGACAGCGAGAGGGAACAAAGCAGGGATGAAAAATCGCCGACCGTTCTCCAATTACCGTTTGCCAAAAAACTAAGCCTCAAAATGGGCCGTGCAATTAGCAGTGTCGGAATTCACGCTCGCCGACCGGAGAGTGAAATTGAAAACCCTGTCATACTGTGTCAGCTCCAATTTCATTCAACACTGCTGGCGGAAACAAAGGCCATTTGAGCTGCGCTCCCAAAATTAAGTTCTTTTACGAATATATTTAGCATTGCTTTGAAGGTTTCTTCATAAACTTCTCTTTGTTCTCTTTTTAAAGGCAGGATAAAGAATTAATGAAAACAAAGATTTTGTTTTAGACCAAAATTTATTTAATAAATTAATTTTTCGGGATGACTTAAGTTAAATAGATGTATCATAAAAGATCAAATTTCTCAAGCAACTTTAAAAAATTATCGGGAAAAAAGTTCAGTCAAACATGTGAAACTAATTATTGCTCACGGATTTGAAAAATAAAAAGATATGTACAATGATGATCCTTCATAGACTTTTAAGAATTTCCTCAAAGGTTTTTTTTTACAATAGTATTTTTGGATGAAAGTATTCAAACGGCAGCCAAACAAGCTTTTACGTCAATAACTGTATAAAATTTTGTTCAAAAATAGTTTTCTAAAAACCGTTCAAAGCGTTTCACAAAGATCTATCAAGTTCTTAAATAAATGGCAAAATTTGCATTTTCTGACGCTTAAAACAGAACCAACATTAATATCATTTAGTTTAAAAGCAGTGCGGTGGCACCTGGCAGATGAGGCCTTTCCGATCCATACAGTTGAAAGGATGCAAGTCGCTTGGTGCACAAAGAGCTCCGCAGTTGACAGTGTCAGGGAGATATCCAAAGAGCCACAAAGCAGGATCCACCAATTCGCCACTCGTCCATCTGAAGTCGCCGGCCGCACGTCCTTTGTCAGAGGACCCAATCCAAGAGTGGAAAGCTGTTAATTACTTATTTTAGAAATTCAACCATAAATTTCTGACGGTCTGGCCCTCACCACGTGAATAATTGTCAAACACATCGCGCAGCATTGTCCTGTTGTAAAGGTGTGCCAGTTGCATGTCGTTGGCCTTGCAAAAATTGTAAGCCTCACACCATGTCATCCAAACCTACCATAAACTTAATATAAAATTTTTATTTAATGTAATTTAATAATTTTACACTTGTATTAAAGTGGAACACTCCACTTTTCATGGTTGTCAAAGTCAAATTCTTCCCTGTTAAAAAATAGTTATTTGTTTTGTTATGGAATTTAATTTATTTTTGCTCCTTACCTGAAATACTGCAGTCTACGGCATTGCTCTAAAGGTTTTTTATTATTATTTTTTTTTACTTAATTATTAAATAAGTTATGTTGCTTACGTTTCGAACCAAAGGAGTTTCAAGATCACAAGCCACGTCTTCCGGTTTTAGGGTTGTCGTTGGTCTTGGAGTGGTGGTTGTTGAGGTAACTACCGCACATCCCTCTTTTCTCTTTGGCAAGGCGGACACCACTGCAAAAATAAAAACCAAGGCAAAAATTGCTCTCATCGTTCTCAAGTTTACCGACGGAGTTTTCAATCGTGAATGGATTAATTTTAATTTCGGTTAACTCTATTTATTAAGCAGAAGATAATCTTGTCTAGAGATAAGAACTGCAAAGGAATATTCATTTGTAGGTCAGAACGAATAAAAATGTAGTAGACTTGCGTACTTCCTGGAATTCATATTGCAAGTAATAAAAGCCGGCAGATTATCAATGTTTGCTGATTAATCTTGATCGTTTATAATGGGATTACCCTACCGCTTTTTGTATATTGCTCTGCATTTAATCAGGTTAAAAATCTTTATGAAATTGCAATCCAGTTATTCCGGTTACAAAAAAGATAAAGGGTTTTGACTTGTATTGCCATATAGGAATGAAGAGGTGATCAAATTGATTTCTGTTGTGCAATTACACAGATATTAGATAATATTGATTGTTATAAGCAATTTTGCATGATGGATGCAGTGAAATTTGAGGCATTCGATCTGATATTTCGCTAACGTGGAGAGCGAGTTCATATTCATAGATTGTTTTGCTGAAAACAGCAGCGCATGATAGATTTGGATTTATTGATTATGGCAATTATGCTGGTGAAATTACTGGACTCGTCTTGTCAATATTGCAAAGACGTAGAGCTAAGAATGAAAACAACAATTTTAAAGTAGAGTTTATGGACAATAATTTTTAATAAGAGTTGTTAAAATTAATAATATAAAAATCTAATTTAACTTTTTACAGTCAACAAAATCTATCATAATAATTATTTAAAGAGTAGGTTAAAAGATATAAGGATATAATATAACTGAAGCAGAACAGAAAGTTTAAGTTGTTCTCGCTTCCTAAATTTCATTAAAAATAATTTTTTTACTTTTAATTATGCATATGGAAATAATAAATTGTATTCCTAATTTTTAAAGCTGAACAAGATTTAGACTATAGGTAGTAAAAAATTCAATTTTAGCCCCATTATTTTTAACAGAGAACAGCAATATTTCCTGTCATCTCTTTTTAGCATAAACTTCTAATAGTTTAAATTTTTAATTTTTTCTGATGAATTATTTTTTACGCAGTATTATTTTGATAAGATCCTATCTTCAATTGAACAAAATCCACATCCTTATTGTTAGACTTTAAATCGCAATATTGGCTTGACGCACATATTTTTTCACCTTGATCGGTACAAAGAATTGCAGTCTCTGTTAATAAATGGCAAAACTAAGAAAAATTGTCGATTCTTTGACGCTAATCGCTTCCAGATAATCCTCAATTGACATATTAAATTAAATACGTTGTTAGACTAAAGGGAAAGATAAGCCACTTTAACGTCTTTGCGGCAGATAGACGTGCCATAAATAAAAAACCCGCAACCCAAATTAGCATTTTTGACCCCAATTCTTCATTTTTCACAAGATCGGCGCTCGATGCGCGTAGAAATAATAAATTTTGTGAGGCGGCGTGCAGGAAGACGAATTGCGGTCGTTGTTCTTTCTTTTTGTATGTCGGGCTTGGTATTTCATGCATAAAATATTTTCGATCAGCCGAAGAGACAAAGTAGCAAGAGAAGCCTTCCGTTCCAAGAGCTGGGCGGAGGCTGCACAGAGACGATTGTTGCACATGTAGGCGAGTGAGAGAGAGGAATTCGTCGTCGGTGCTTTTCATAAATGCCGGTGAATTATGGTGGCATCGGAATTTCATTAGGCGAGGCTGCAGTCTCGCCAGCCCTTCTTGCAAATCAGCCTTGTTCGCCTCCGAAACATGGGAACTCATGATGGAGAGAAAAGAAGAAAAAAAATTGAGAATTTTCCAATTTCCGATAAATTTTGAAAATCCAAAAAGGTGGACACTGTTTGAATGTAAATTTTAGATGTAATATTTTATGCAATTATATAGATTTTTTAATCTTTTTGCCTCACTGTAGGACTATTTGATGAAGCAGTTTTGACTTCTGAGAAATTTTACAATCAAGCAACTTCTGAGAATTTGAATATGATAATGATAAGAATGAGTATTTTTCTGCAAATGCAATGTTTCAACAACAACTTGCTTTTACTTTCAATTTTGAAAAATATTTTTACATAATCGGAATGACAAAAAAAAATGTGATTTCATGAATTTAAATAAAAAAACGTAATTTATTGAATTTTTAAAAAAAATGTGTCTCCACAATGAATTCATGAATTTAAGAAATATGAGTTCACGAATTTCAAAAACTGTGATTTCATGAATTTAAAAAAAAAATATTAACATGATCATTTACTTGATAGTTTTTATATTTAGGTTATTTACTTGAGGTATCATCCCATTTAAAGCAATGCTATCTCGGGAGAATTTCCCATTATTTTCACATAATTTCTAGCGCGACACTCTCTTCCCACCGCATTTTATTTCTGAAAGGGCAAAAATACCATTTTCTGCAAATTGCAACCAAATCAGATCCCCAACGTGCATCACAAGCCCCTTTAGCCCAAAACAACCCTCGCTCCCGTGCGCATATTAGGCGCTCTCGTGGATGCAATTTGAATATTTAGAGCGCGAGAGAGAGAAAGACGCGTCGAAGGGGGCTCAATAAAATAAAAAGCGTGCAGGATTGGAGGGTGGGTGCGCGGCGGAGGGTTGAAAGCAGCGCCGAGAGAAAGGACTGTTTCCGAGTGTGTCGGCATTAGGCGGTGTTTTCGAGTAGAAAACAACTTTAAAGAAGGACAGAAATGGGTTCCTGAGCGGATTACCTGTGTAAGAGGATCTCTTTTCTTTGAACAATATGCCGCGCGATCAATATCAAAAAATAAAAGACCTTTCTCCCTTTCGACTCCCCCTCTGATTCTCTTTGGCGGAAGATCGCAGCATGCGGCCCTCTAATAATGCAGCCCGTGTGACTCCATTATTACATCGCAATAAATTTATTATTCCAACCCCATTAGGCGCGCTAACGATTACAAATGTCCGCACACTGACCTCACCTGCGCACCATCGCTCACCGCGCGACCGCCGCGTTTCTTAATTCGCGCGCGCGAGCACCATTTCACCATTTGCCTGGTGCCAAAAAGCCAGCCAGAAATTATCATGCTTCGCAAATTGAAATTTATTGCGTCGTCTCGCCGCCCGCAAAAATAATATGTCGGCCGCCGTGAAATTACCCTGATAACAAAATTTGACAGTAAAAAATGAAGTTGATGAACAAATTTATGCCGTGCATTATATTTTTAAACAGAATTTGTCTTTGTCCAGTCATTGTTCCCTGCCCCCCCCCCCCCCAGGTATTTATCGATAAAGATGTTTGTAGACTATTTTCAAGCAGCTCTTTTCATTGCAAATATCTTAGAAAATTTCTAAATTGAAATGGCTGCTCTGAAGCTCTGGGACAACTGCATTTCTATTATTTTTGAAATAACGCTATTATTTTCAGGTATAGATATACAGATAGAGGTACAGATATAAATTTAAATTAATAGTAATAAAAAAATGTTGCACTTCTGCCTTTGGAAGTAAATGTGGAATTAAATGTTGAATTTATTTTTTATTCCAAAACGCGCATCAGGTACCAATTTTTTTTTCTAAACGGTTAATGGGAATCTTTCCATAATATATGCATCATATAAATAAAATATAGATATTTATTAAACTGTTTTTAACAAATTTAAAGAAAAACTTATTTATGTCAGCCATGCCGTACACTCGTGCCTAAGGCCTTACACTCGTGCGTTTTAGGAAAAAAATTTATTTTAAAGTTAACATAAACTTTAATCTGTGTTATTGCAATACTATTTTTGGATTATATATTTGCCACTTAAAATTTTATACTTATTTACTAAGTGTTTAAAGACAAAAGTTTTTGACTTTAATATGTTCATTTTTTTTTTAAATAGATTGAATAATTGAAATTGTAAAACATTAATGTTTAAATTCAGTTTGTTTTCACTTTTTTTTCTGGTGAAATTACATTGTTAAGAAGACGGCAATGTTTTCTAATTCCCAACACCTGTCTTTGCCCTTCTTCTGCCATGGGTGGAAATGGTCTAGTGTGATTACCAGCGAGTTATTTGTGTTTCGGGGAAGTGCCGTTGGCTGTTTGTGCAAACCAAACACTGCACTGGAGTAGTCCTCTGCTTTTTTCGGCAGGTGCGATCTCGATAAATCAGAGAAAATAAACTTTGGCACTGTTCAAATACACACACGACGAGAGCACCAATCGCGGGGAGGGAGACTTTTGGAAATCGGCACTAATTGAGCCGCGGCTCGTCAAAGTGGAATAGAGGTGCAATTACGCCACTTGGACTAATTAATTCAAAAACCACTCCAGCGTGCGGCAAACTTGGATTTTGGCTTTTGTTTCGGCGATAAAAGTGCCTTTCGACCTCATCTCAAAAGACGGCGCTTGAGGAAAATCGCCTCCGCTTTTCCAGAGCAGGAAGTGAAGGGAGCTGGGGACACACCTTTCCCGTTGTCGCCAACCCAAAGAACAGGGGAGGAATAAGAAAGAACACACGACGGCTGCGATTAAAAGTGCCTCTCTCTCCCGTGCAGCCTTTCCGTTTCCCGTCTCTTGCCTGCTGCTCTGGAAAAGTCGTCCGGTGTGCAATTTAACGTTAAGGCGCAGCAGCTGCCACCGCGTGAGAGGGTGCTTTGCGTTTTAAACTTTTCATTGCCATTGTCAAACAGCACGTAACTTCGAATTGAATGCTTTATTTAAATTAATTATTCATTAATTAGATTTTTGTCTTATATAGTTTATATAGATAAACTTAATCAAATATTGTTTGTGCCACTTTTACATACCACGTTGAACCTTAATTTTAAAATTCTAAATTTCAAAATTTTTATTTTATTTTTGTTTATTTCAAATAAAATAAAATTTAACAAAATCTTTCGCTTAAAATATGTAATCGGAATTTTTATCTCTGAACCAGATAACTTATAGTTCGCATGTGAAATTTTTGTAAATATTGAATTCAATTGAATGTAAATTTTAATTCCTCCATGAAATACAGAGTGAGGTATCCTGAGTAGGTAGATATTTGAAACAGGATAAAATT